TATAGTGCAATTAAAACTAAAATCACTATTTTTTGAGGGCTGTACAGATTTCATGTCCGAAATCTTTTATTTAGGTATTTAAAAGAAAAAACGGATTCATTAACTCATACAATTAATGCATATCCTAATCACTATAATCAGCCTGTTTCTCCACTGATTTTTCAGGCATTACTAATTAGACATGGCATTAATATTGCTATTTCAGCTATGTCAAAGCAGAAACTATGATCATAGTAGTTCAGAAGATGAAATTTTAACTGTTCCTCAGCCTGCAAGATGTTTTCATAAATTTTTTAGTTTGTGAAAGGCAATAGTTGACTAAAGCCTAATTAAAAGACGTGTTACAGCACTGTTGCAAGAGACTTTACAATATTGGTTTTGTGTGTCTTGAAATCCAGGACTAAAGCTGACACAGCCCTGAGCAACCTAGCCTTGCAGAAGACTGAAGCCAAAAATCACCACACACCTCTTCCAACCTAAATTCTTCTTTAAAGTGCATTTGTGTGTGATGTTTCTATACTCAAGTCAAGTTTGCTGACAGTCATTTTCACAGTGGATTACAAGACACAGTTGAGAAAGGCTTAATTAAATTAGGAAACTGGACAACATAATTACAAAATAAATTCAGCACAAACCAGTGTAAGATATTACATGTCATATTACACAAATGGATTCAAATATTGTCAGTGGGAAAATATAATCTGCAGGCTTTCATGGGAAATATTTCTGCTGTTGTGGTGATGAAAACACACACCTGCTTCATGCTCTACTATGATCCAGAAACAAACTACACACAAAGTATTTAGTGGATGGAAGAGAGTGTTAAGTGTCAGCATGAGACAGATATAGCAACAATCAACAGATTTTCTTTCACTATTTATTCTACCATCTCATGAGAAAATGAAGAATTAAATTCTTCCCAATAATGATGAGAAAAGCAGTTGCTCTATAATAAGGAATTAAGCATAGTAATTAGTCAGCTAAGTAGTAATATAACTGAGGTACATATATAGAATATGCATACAATAGAGGAGGGACACTTCAACTATCAAGGAGTATTTTCTTTTTATAAAGAATGGTTAGCATAAATTCATTGACACAAATATTAGTCCACTATTTTTAAAAATAAGCATTTTGAAAACCAAAAAGCGTGTGTAGAAGAGCTTCCACCTTTTAGCGTAAGCCAAATAACATTAAAGTATTACATATTTGTTCTGATTCTTCTGTTGTTTTCAATAGGGGAGGAAACAAAATAGACAAGATGTGCTACTAGAAAATATAAAAGGTTTGTGTCTCACACCACCAGTTTTTGAGGTTTTAAATGGCCTAGTTATGGCAAATAAACCATGCACTTCATCACATTGCTGACAAGCTCTCATTTAATACATGATGTCTCTAATTTGGCTGAATGGGAACAGTAATTTGGCTGTACACTTCTATCAATATTATCCTGGATATGGAACGACTTTGCATTTAAACCAATGCTATTTGACATGCTAGACCAAATTTAAACATTCCTTGTCTGGTACAGCAGAGTCTTTGAAGATGTTTTTTTTTTAAAAGATGCTTATCTACCCTTGCAGCTAAAGGCTCATCCACTGCTATGAAGAGAGCTCCAAGAACAAAATAGCAGCTGCTCAAATTGGCCACTGTCACAATTAAGCACCACACCTCTTCAAAGGCAAAAAGCAGGTTACACTCCCCCCACATATGCAGAATGTCCCTTCACACCAGTGAGAGAAGAGGCACTCAAGGCAGAACTCAGGCACTTGCAATGATGGCGCCTCTTAAAACATCCTCCAGTGCTTTCTGCCAGACAGCTTTACGAAAACTTCACAAATACACCAACCAAAGTTTTGACTTTAAGAGCTTGACTGCAATATTAACTATGCTGCCCCAGTGTCCTGCTTCATTTTATTGTGACCTAGAAAATCCAGTTCTCCAAAAGAAGCAACTTTGGGTTGTACACAGTAAACTTTATTGGGGGAGCTATGGATAAATAAGCTTCAGCTCTGGCTATTATTGTGTCTAGGTCAACAGCATCAAACTCAGCGCAGCCAGACCACAGTATCATTGTTGTATTAGGATGTGCTATAGGAAAAGACTTCAAGAACATCCATGAAATTCTTAGGAGAAAAAGAAATTGTGGTGTTTGGTATTATGTATTTTCTAAATAAAGCAATAGTCTCAGGAAACAGCAAATACATACTGTAGGAAGAGAGCTGCCATAAATAAAAAACAATAAATAAATAGAATAAATAAATAAAAACTATTTACTCCATTTCCTATGACCAGTAACCCAGCATTTCCAACCTCCATCAAAACGAAACTCACCACACACTACAGTAACAGAGTGGGCTAAGAGGTAGAATATTTTCACAGGTTTGTGAAATTAGCTTTCCAAGAGCAATTTACTAGTCTGAAAAGTAACACCATGGAAATAGCACTGGAGTTTCATCTAGCCTTCCTTTAGGGATTTTTTGTACCAAGTATGCCTAATGTATTCCCGCCCTCTGCACCTAAATCAAGACCAGCCAGCAAAGCAGTGTTCTCCTCTATTTCATACTTCATCAATAACATAAGCTTCCCATATCTGGAGACAAATTCTCATCTCAACACCAGCATCACAACAATAGGTGCTTTTTAAGCAAATAAACTATCATCACTGTTTCATACACCAGTATAAACATCTAAGTTTCCCCCCTCAAACAAAAGAGAAATTACAGCCTAGCTGAAATAATTGCACCTCTTAGACTGTTCAAAGCAACAAGGTTAATTCTTACTTTAAAAATAATAAGAGAGAGCCTAGTTTGTTCTCTTCTTATGTGCTTAGATTAACACTCGCACAAACCTGACTTCAACACACTGCTATCCCAAAGCCATTGAAATTTCTGTCTGGAACTCAGTAAACAACATCATTTCTGATAATCAAAACCCAAAGTTACTCACACCTTCAACTGTGCTGGGTTTGCAGTCTTGCAAAATTTTTAAGTAATGAGAATTATTTTGCCCATGGAAGCAGCAATTATAATTGAATGCAATGAGTAAGAGCATAATTTCAATCATGGTTACTTTTCAGAGCAGAAAAGTTAATCTACACAGTAGACAATGAGAACCCTGAAAACAACAAATCAAACCAACCGAGCAACCATTCAACACACTTGGCTTAGTTTATTCCCAAATACAAACTCTTACGTCTCAATATGCATTAGAATGTCATTATTGCTTCATGCACCAAGGTACATTTTGGGAGAAATGCTGAGGGAAACTCACAGTGAAGTCAAACCCATGTAACAGAGCTGGGAATAAGCAATGAAAACTTCAGAAAAGGGTAAAGCAATAATGCCTCTGCATCATGCTGCACGTCAGCCCTGATCCCGCTGCTCCGGCCCCGGTGCCTTAACCACACAGAAAGAGGTTAAACAAGAGGTATGACTTTACAAGGACAAACATCCATGCAAGGCATCACCACCCATTTTCAAAGACCATGTCCATCTGCCAGAGAGGAAAGAGTGGTACATGGACTCGTCCAGCATTTAGGTGCTGCCTGCTCTGCTCACACAGGCAAGCAACAGCAATAAGCCCTGTGACAGAGGCACACTCCCTCCCTACAGCTGAGCAGGGCTGGCTGATGCCCAGCCCTGTATGAGAGCAGAGCTGCACTCACGCATCAACACAAGGAGAGGCAGGGGAGAATGATCCTGCACACAACCATAGAAATAGCTGGGAAGAACTGGGGAAAAAATCATAGTGCTCTGCCCTCTCTTCTTAGCTCCTTGCCCATCTTCTGGTTTGTTTATTTGGGGCACTGGGCCAGGATGCCTGAAGAGTGATGAAGAGTCACAATGCTGAAATTAGTAAGTCTGAGTTCCTCACTTCTCAAACATGTATTAAGTAAAAATAGTTATATTACAGAAAGCACAGCAGGAAGAGTAGAGGGACACAAAGAGGCACACATGCAAATAAATACCTCCTTCCATCCCCAATTATGCCACCCAGAAATTTTTGCTAAAACATGCCATTTTTCCCTTCAATAAAAGTCAGCAAGATAGGAAACCTAGTAAACAGATTTTATTATATCTGTCTAGCTCAGATTCTCCTTCCATATGTTTCCATTAAATCATTAAAACTCATCATACTGAGGTTTTTAAAAAGTATGTCTTGTTTATGAGGACATTTCACTCAAATCAGCTCACAATAGCCATTTTCCTGAATCCACACCACTTTACAACCACATCCAAACTCACCATTGCTAATGTTCTCTCTCTGTGCTCACTGGGAGCCTCTCACTCCCCCTCACACTTTTTCTTTCCATAAAGCAAGCATCACCTGTCATCCAATTCCCTTGTACATGCTTTAAATTTAATCACAATACCCAAGGTGTCAATAATCATGTTTGTCTTTCTGACAAGAATCAGAAATAGAAATAAAGTTCATGCTGCATAACAATAACATAATCTGCAGTGCTGCAACTGAACAACTTACTTCACAAGAAGTCTAAAGCAACCTCCTCTCAATTTAAAACATACAAAGGAAATCAGCCTTTTGAAACTAAATTCAATAAGCCAAACAACTTGATTCAGGTACTAATAAATCAGATAAAAGCCACTAGGAAAGATGCCAGGATCCCCTCCCAAACCACCAGCATCACCTTCCAAAAACATACGTCAATTAATCAAAATTAAAATGGGATGGCAAAAATTTCACTACTCTGATAGATACTTATTGTTAATATAATTAGTATTTCCCCATGGTTGCTTAAGACAACATTACAGTTTTAGCAGCAAGGCTGGAAAACACTACATAGCCTAGAGTGCCCTCTTCCTTTTCCAAGAGGAATTTCAGGGAAACACTGTTGAAGATGTCAATCAGTTGTTTCTCAGAATGTCAAATAAAATAAATAACTAGAATGTATTAAAACATGAAAAAAGTTCAGTATAATTTAAGCCAAATCCTTACATGAGTGATAAATATGATTCTATCAATAAAAATATACTTACAGAGCCATCTGAAATTGTTCAAGCCATTTTTTCTTTAAGTCTTTAGTTTTGCAATAAACTTCTAAACCATTTTCACCTTGGATATGAATGAGGTAGAAGCCATAAGACCACTGCATAAGAAGATTGGTAATACAAAAGTCGTCAGTTATCAAGAAAGGAAAGGGAAAAAAAAAATAACAAAGCATTTGTGTATTCTTTAATTCATTAATTTTGGGAACAGAAAGAACACTTTATTGTGTTCCCTTACAATTACTTACTCAAACATTTTCATTACCTCAAAATAAACAAAGTTAAAATTTATAAATATCCACTCCATTTTATATTTAAAATGAAAAACATCTTAAAGAAATTGTATTTACACTTTAAACTCCTGCAAAATCCTTCAAATTCTTGCTAAAAATAAACATTTTATGTCAATTAGCAACAAATATTTACCTTCTTATTTTCTTTATCAGTAGTGGGGTTATTCGTAATTTTGTATTTCTGAAGATCTATTATTTCCTTCATTTCATAATTATCCCCTCTCCGTTTGCAAACAATGACAGCTAGATCAAACAAGAAGATATGCCTATGAAAATACAATACAGAGATGGTTAAAGACACTCCAGAAAGCTAACACCAAAAAGTCTTATTTTACATGCTTTTGCCAGTGGCACTTAAAATTTTGAAGGTGAAGAGCTAAACTACGGGGTAATAAAACAACCAACACTGAAAGTACTTTTGGTTAAAACCAACTCCTTTGTAAGGGACTTAGTGACCTTAGATACCAATGTAATAACTGATTTTCCATTCACCACTTTGCACATTCACTTGGTCAGTGGTAGGCTCTATGAATGCCTAGTGGAATAGAAAGCCCCCAAGAATCAGTGAGCTGAAATCTACAGAGGGTTACTTAACAGGTTTCCAATAGCGAACACCACAAGTTATGCCATCACCTGTCTTGCCTCGCACGTTTGTCTAATGTCGTTATCCTTATTTCCCCATCACCTTGAGGTCTCCCATACTGTAAGAGGGAATGGTTCTGAAATAGAAATGAAATGTATGATTCCATACAACAGTGTGAAGAAAACAACACATTCAAATGTTAGACCATTCACTTCTTTTACCCCATAAAAGAACTTTTCAGACCAGGAAACATCTTTTTCTCACTACCATCTAAACGAAATACTATAAAGAATCAGTCCATTCTATTTTTGTCTTCAGACAGAAAGATTTTCCCATCACAAAAACTGAGAGTCACTGTACACATACAAACCTTTAACTATGCAAATACATTGAACTACCAACACCCAGAATAGGAAGATTTATCTACTTTGGTATGCACGTCATTCTAAACCAAGATGAACATACTTAATATTATTAAGAATATTATAAACTCCTATGAAATGAGGAAAAAAATACATCAATATTTTTAATCAAAAGTGATTTAAAAATTATATGTAAATTTAAAAATCACATACCAAATTCTCTATTGATAGTTGAAACTGTCTAATTTCCCGAAGTGTTTCGTTATCTCTCTTTACTTCATTTACATATTGAGCCAAGTCCTAGAGTATGAACAGCAAAAGAGAGGAAAACAATAACTTTTCCATAACAGACTGTTTTAATATATTATTTTGACAAGTTTTATTTCTAATTTTATCTTTGTCTTATCTACATATTTAGTAATTTCTTATGAAATTCTCTTTAACATTCAAGAATTACCAATATGTATGCCTAAATAAAGAAGGAAAAAAGTGTCTGCATATCTTCAATAATATTTACAACACTCTTCATGACATCTATTGGAACATGAATTTAGCAGCAAGAAAGAGGGGAACAAGTAATAAATTCTTAAAAAGAGCTGATTTTTTTTTAATTTCCTTAGTTGTTTTTTTTAAGATTAAACATGTAAATGTAATTTATGCAGCTCGCTACTGAAAAAGCAGTCAACATCCAACATCTGATGTAAACAGGAGGTAAACAGAGAATATAGTAGAAAACATATATAAAGCAGCTCAAAAGCAGAATGTAAGATGTAAACTAATCATAAACCTGGGTGCTTATTAGAAGAGAAAAAGCTACGGCCCCAGTAGTGAGATCTTGCTCTTACTGGTGCACAGCTGAGAGAAGCCATTACACAGCAGATTTTAAAAGGGGCTTTTGAAGGGATATACTACCTGAAGTCACAGAGTGAGATCATTATTGTGCCCTTTAACAGAACATGTACTGTACACGTTTCACTAAAGCCTTTAAAATGCTCTGAAGATAGTTGAGTAATAGTGACAATTTGCTGGGGCTTCTCTGTTTATGGCTGGAGATGAGGAGTGAGCAGAAGAAGTAATTGGTAGGGTCAGGGATGCTGAGAGCAGCAGTTGGAAAAGGTATTCTGATCTTCCTAACTTGCTTTTACAGTATCCCTTCAATATGGCCACAAATTTGGAGGGTGGGAGGAAAATACATCTTTTTCCTAAGATGTTTTTAATCAGAATCTGTGAAGAGCTGCAGTCATTATGCTAGCTTCCCAAATGGATCTGTGCAGGATATATTCATATAAGTCTTTAAAAACTTAACCTAGAAATTAAATAACCTCCTTTCTTGCAGCCAAAAGAAATCCAACAGCATAATCCTTCCAAGAATTTTCTTTCCTGGGGGGCAGCACCACTTTGCTAGGAGTTTTTCCAAAGACATTTTCTTTTTGTCTCTCTTGGTGAGAGACACCAGGGTTTTTAGAAGCAAAACATCAGTGCTACACTGTTATTTCTGCTAAAATGGCAGGGACTACAGTAAATCAGAATGGGAACAATGCTTAAGGAGAGATGCTCATACCTCAGGAGTTTGAGTGGGTTTAGAGGGGTTTGGAGGGGGTAAGAGTGAGGTTTTGTTCGGTTACATCCTGCAAGCCAGCACATATCTGCCACAACCACTCTGGCAAGAGATTTCTTTAATTTTTACATCCAACAGACACCAACAATGAAGAAAACCAGCAAATTGGAATGAAAAAGCAGGGGTAAATATAAAGCATAGTTATTTTCTGATCCAATTAGCAGCAACCAGGATAAATGGCCTGCTACTGGATGGATGAACATTGTGTCATCTCTTTTCAAGCACCTCTCCAAGGGAAATTATCATGGTGTCCATCCCTCTATGTTCACTGCACAAAAATGGATAACAAAAAAGGGAACTAAAAATCTCATTTGTGAGCTGGTTTGTATTCCAGGCATTCAAGGCAGTCAGAAAATATGAGACAGCTGTGTGACCCAAAACTAACTTAGTCTGACTTCAGCATCTACTGTGGACCATACAGATTACAACAAGAGATATAATTTATGTCATGTTGGCTCCTTTCCCCACAAAGAAGAGAAAAACCTTCCCAATTCCAGCACATGAACATCACCATTCATGCCATGAAGGCAACTGAAGCAGATCCGTGCTTTGTTTCAGAAGCTGTGCAGAGCACATAATATATTATCTTATACACAAGGCAGCACAGTTATTCCATAAAGCATTTGTTTGTGCCAATTGCAGGTGAATGTATAGTGACAGGTACCCTACCTCCAGAAAGATACTTTCAAAGGTAACGCCACAGAGATTGTATTAAGATGACAGAAAAAGGTTTTGTAAACAAAGACAGCTCTCCATCTCACTGGGAAATCACTGATTTTGATTCAAATTGACTTACAGTAGTAGAAATACTCCTAAATTTCAGAAGCAAGACCAACATGATTGAAACACCTGTTTCTAAGCAAATGCAAAAGTAATGCAAAGTGGGCAAGTTCCATTTCACAAACACTCTCCTTCAGAAAACTACTGAACTTGTTTCCCAGACTTAAGCAAAACCCTCAACTTTATACTTGCCATGACACACAAAGCTCACAGGAACCTGTGAAAACATGTTTGAAATGTTGTGAAGAACATGATCTCCTCCAGGAATTAGAATTCTGAGCTACTATTCTAACCACCAGCAGACAAATAATTCACTGCCATAAATACCTTCATTGCATCAAGTGCCAGTTTTAGATTTGCTTTCTCCATGGGATCAGTAGTGTGCTTTACCAGCTCCTGTGGACAGAGCAGTTAAAATTTCAACCCACTGTTCGTCACTTACATAAATTGAAATCATCATTACTCATCCCCACCCCCAAAAAATACAGAAGCCAAAACACAGCCCAAGAATAGGCATTTTCATCTCCAGAGTGAGCAGCCTAACAGTGAGTGGAGACTACTGCAAACAGTTAATTGGCAAGTGTTTAGGAATGACTGCTGCACAGCCTAAACACTGACTTTAGCTGCTAATGAACCATCACAAGAAGTGAGTTTGTCTGTCTAGCACTTAAAACTTACCAAATCAGACCATTACTGTATGTGCATGCTGGAAGCCCAGGTAAACAACACTCAGGTTCATTTACACTACATTGCTATACACCATTTCATCCTATTCCAAAGCACGCACTTGTCCACAGACAGGGATCCATGCTGGCAGTAAAACCTCAGCTGAAGTGTGCACAGCTTAAAAGTCACTGTCTCATACCTAAGAGGAAGCTGACTCAGAAAACATACTGAAATCAAATTTACATGTTCAAAGAATTCTTTTAGCCACTTCCCATATGGAAAATACAGGGATTTTTTTGGGCTTTATGAAGTAGAAGTGTAATCTCCTGGGGAAACAGGTCATTTCTTCTTTATAATTTGAGGCAATAATTATACATTTCAGTTCACATAACTTCATACAATTATAAGAAATGAAATAATATTTTTATACACATATTACAATTAATAATAAATTATTATTACCTATATTTGCATTACAACTCTAATAATCTTCTCATTATTTTCTTTCCAAGTCTGTAAAATATCTTTCTTGTACAATATATAAATATTGTTACACAGAGCATTGTATATAATCTTTTCACAATATATAGGTTGATTATAAAATCATGAGTCAGATCTCATAAGCTTTTTTTTAAAAAAAATAGGTTGTATCATTCATTTTGCTTTTTTCCAATTTCAAACTGATCAAAATACTGATGACTCATATATAGAAGTATTTCAAAAATTTAATATTACAAAATGTATGTTGTTCTGCAGAGTAAAAATTATGCTCCATATATAAGTAGTAGATCTTTTTAAAATGACATTTTACAAGCATCAGCAGGGTTGACAGTCTAATATAGTAATACATTTCTTTGCAGCTGAACTAATGAGTCTCCTGGCAGAGCTATCAAATTAAATTTATAAGACTCTCCACCCTTATTACAGGACTAACTGCAAAAGCTAATGCTTTGTGGGTTATAACAAGAAGCATTTCAAAATAAATATGGCTTAATTGCAATTTATGACAGCAAAAAAGTATCTTAAAAGTATGATGTATGTAAGGCCCAGCTTCCTCTTTCAGGGGGTAATGGTTCACATTTCCAAGTACCATGATTATGGTTTGGTACTACTAACCATTTTAAACACACCAACAATAAAAGGTCCAGAGACTGAGGAAACAATCATGTTTTATTTGATTTTCCCCAGATATGCTTCAGCTCTAAGAGATGATCTCTGGGAGAAGCTCTGCACTTGACTGAATTTTATTTCATAACATATCTAGGGAAGCGTCAATCACCTTCCTTTGATAAAGACATTTAGCTTTCATTTTTACAACCCGCTGATGATAAACAATCACAGTTTTGCTCTCAGCCCCCTTAAATTTCAAAAATAAAATACCTGGAGCAGTAGGTGATATTTTAGCACTCTTTGCATTGGAACCACTAAAAGATCCCGCAGTGTAAATTTCCCATTATTGGCTCTCTTGGAACATTCCTAGTTCAAAACAGAAGAGAGAATAAGACAATAGAGCTAGAAAATAAACATATTCAAGTGATACATATGAAAATTCAGTGACATATAAGCAACTATATTAAGCTTGTGATAAATAGTATCAATAAAATAAAGGAAAACAGTTGACATGGCACCGCCAAAAAAGGCAAAAAAAAAGCCTGCATTTAGTCATTTGTTTTTAGATGTTCCAACATGCATGCAAGAGTAGAACAAAGGCAAGAGAAATTAGGCATTCCATACAGCTAAAAAAAAAAATTATATATTCCTATGGGGGAAGAAAAAAAGACAGCAAAAGGTTATCATGGAAATTACAGGCCAGACAGTCTCACTTCAGCACTTCACTGCAAAAATTGTGAAGCAAGTCCTCTTGGCAACAATATCTGGGCACACAAAGAAGGATATGAGAACATCCAGCATGGATTTACCACAGGTAAATCAATGCCTGACCTACTGGACTGCTTTTCACAATGAAATGGTTAGATCTGTGAATGGGTGGGGACAGTCTGCCTTGACTTTTCCAAGGCTTCATCTCTCACAGTAAAGTAATATCCAGGTGGGGATGTTATGCTCCAGATCTATAAAAAACTGACTGAATTATGAGGCTCAAGAAGTGCAGTGACTGATGTTTCCTGCACCATCTGAGGGACAGCTGCAGACAGAGCTCTTCAGGGCTCTGTGCAAGGTCCCCTCCCCTTTAGTGCCATTGGCAATCATCTGCAGGACACCCAAAGCAGGTCTGCAGAGAACATGCTCAGGGTGCAGCTGACACCCTTCAGGACAAGCCCAGCACAAACCTCTCCTGAAGGCAAAAAGGTAAAGATGAAGTCCCTCACCTGGTGAGCACTAGCCAGGGACATCTAGCCCTGAGGGCTGAGCAGGTGGACAGCAGCTCTGCAGAAAGGACCCAGGGGTCATGGCAGACAGCTCTGAGGCTATGGGACAAGGGCTTGTTCAGCCTACAGGTCCCTCCCAGCCCGTGTGATCCTACAACTCTACAATCCAGCTGAGATATGCTGGTAAATGGAAGGGTACCACTGATGGTCACTTGCTGAAAGAAAACCCTAACTCTCTAATGTCAGTGGCAAAACTCCCTTCACTTCAGGACCCGGAAGTGCACTTTCATATATGCAGCAGGTTTTCAGTTGATCAGAGGCTCCAAAAGAATGAATGGAAACACATTCACTCATCAGTCCAGCTAGTTTCATCATCATAAAGGTTTTGATTTCAATGAAAGGACATAGTTACAGAAACACATGGTATAATACATATATATATATATATACAGATTTAAAAAATACTGATACCTCTAACTTTAATTTAACATCTTCTTTTGTCTTAGAGATATTGTCTAAGCATGATATCGCAATCTCCACTTGACTGCAGTACTGTCCATAAATAACCAACCTAAATCAAAGCAAGAAAAAGAAAGAAAGATCATTTGTTTATTTAAGAACAACCCTTGATCATTTTTTCACACTCCTTGTTTCAAAAGGAGCACTGCCTATATAAGCAAGGATAGAATTTAGCCATGTGTTCAACAGGCAGCATGAATGAACAAAGACTATTCTGGAGAAAAGTTTTGCTCTGCTTTCAAAATGGTCTAAAATCATTGCAATTTCCTTTAATAGTCACATTATTTATATGTGACTATTAAAATTATATTATATTATAATATAATTATGTTCTGATAAATACAAGATTCATTAAAAAGCAGCAAAACTTCTGTTGCACAGAACAGTCTGTAGTGTTTTCACCAATGTAGACTTCCAAGGTTGTAACGAATAAATTCTGGAGCACAGGTTTAATAGGCTTAATTACAGCCACTCTTTAAAGAACTTGTAGGTTATCTAAACTGATCTGTCTCCAGCAGTCTCTATCAGGTCTAAGCTCTCAGATCAAAATAGTAGTGTATGAATTCTCAAGAAATTCTCAATAGATGTCAAGTGAAGCAAAGCTTCTTGAAGAAGCCTGGTTTTATGACAGGAGTTTTTTGCCTCTCTGTGGAGTGCTTCATTCTGCTAGTCCCAGCATCAAGAGTGCTCTCTTCTTTCACCTTTCCATGTTTCTTGAGGTGATTTCTTCTGTATGCTTCACTTTTTGGTGGGTTCCCATGAACTTTCCACTGAGGTTTCCTGGATTTCTTTTTCTCTCACCTAACATTTACCCTTTTATTTAATTCCTTTTTTTCACAATAAGGTGATGACTCTTCTTATTTATCATTTCTTATTCTATTTCTTCTCAGTGTCCTTTGTTCCTCTTTTAGCACACACTTCAGAACAACTTTAGAAAGATAAGCATTTTCCAGAACAGCTCCTTGTCCCCTGATTCCCTCCTACAGCAGCAGAAAGTGTAACAGCCTGGGAAACACTGTGTCCTGCTCCAAACCAGAAGCTGAGACAGAGGGTCTCTGAAGGCAGGACTGTTTATTGGCAGTCTGGGACACCCTCCTCCCTTGGAAAACTGTCCCATGTAACATTATTTGGATGCTGCTGTCCAATTTCTCACACACCAATTATTATTGCAATAATCCTCCTCCATCCATCACCCTGAAGCAAACCCAGTTAGCTCCCTCAAGTCTTTCTGACTCTGCTCCCAGAAGGACCTAATTTTTAACCAAAACCCAGAGGTTACTTTAAGATAGGTTAGCAGCATAGCCAACAGAACAAGTGCTTTTCAGCCAAGTACCACAGGCATATAAATTCACCTATATAGTCCAACAGCTGTTCAGTGCTGGCAGAAGGAACAACATGAAAAGGTGGGTAAAAAAATTGGAAATTAGCCTACAGGGTATGGCATGTTGCCACAGCCATCCTGTTATCAGCTTGGCTGCTTTTCAAAGCTTGAAGGCAAAGGGTATAGTCCCTTCTCTCTTCTCTTTTATATCTATATTTTATATCTATATATATTTTTATATATATTCTCTCTTCTTTCCAGTTACAACCTCTTTAATCTGAAATATCCCTAATAAGTATCCTTTTTTTAATCTCTTAAACAATGCTAATACATGCTATAAAATATCTAGAATTATGTGCATGAAAAAAAAATGCTGTGCAAAATTAGATATTTAAGATATTTCCTTAAAAATATACTTGTTACCTGTCTAAGTAAAATTATTGTCAAAGCTGGGCAATAACAAGAGGGAGGGCTCTTAAAACAGTAGGTTGCACTTTGACTTCTAGGCTCAAAGCACCAAAACTAGCTTGATATGGATACTTTAAATTTAATCTCATTTCAAAAATATTCATCAAACAAAAATACAGTAAAATACCAAACTGAGCATATATTCACACAGTTAGTAAGAGTCCTTAAGTCTTACCTTTCCTTGTAGTTAATAAAAATTTGATATAGGTTCTGATCATTTTTGTTAACAATGGAATCATTGATGTCCTGTGTAAGATTCCTGTGAATTTTCACCAAATCCTTAAAAACAGTAATGGGAGGAGAAAAGCTTTGTAAAAATAGAATGGCTTAGAGCTTTGAATATAAAAATAAATTATTTTATGTTAGACCCATTAATTTCAATAAATTGGAAAACAGATCATTTGAGAGTAGAATCTAATTTCAAGGTTTGGCACATCTTCTGTATAGTGTAACAAGAAAAACTAAACTCCAAGAACTACCTGTTAGAGACTAATTTATTCTAGCTTGGAACATGCACTGTTAATTCACATTTATTTTATAATGATAATTTTAAAATTAAGCAAGTCAAGTAAATGCATTAGTGAAAAGTTGAAGTAATGATTCATGTCCCTGAGCTGTAAAAAATTAGTTCTGTACATTACATTGGTCAATTAGTGATGTCCTAATGCTAAATTAACTGCAGTCATAATGAGTTTCCCAATACAGCACACAACTAATGTCTGAGAGAAAGAAAATATTGCAGAAAGATTTGCTCTTTGATTACTGTTGCAACTCTCCTTACTTATACACTATCATACATAAACTAAAGGAGATTGCATCAGCCTTAGCACTGTATGGACAGAGAATTCACAAGAAACTGAATCAAAACAGGTTAAGATGTTTTGAAATCTGGGTAACTGTAAGTAGTACACAGACCACTGGAATTAAAAAGAGAGGACTGTTCAAAAGAGCAAGCCATTGAAGATGATTTAATGCAAGAAATTATATACTACAAAAATAATATTCAATACTGAGTCATGAACTAAGTTAAAACATTTAATTTTGCACTGATGAAAACTAACAGTACATAGAAGGTCAGTCACATCACTGATGAGGGTGCAGAATCTTGAAACAGATAAATTTAGTTGCTAGTAACTGCATGGCCTCATCCTCAAAATCTTAAGTTGCAGTACACAGACACAGAAATGCTTCCCAATTAATCTATTTGGAACAGGAGCACTTTTTCTAAGGAGCACACAGGGACTCAGCTAAGCAATACCCCTGAAAAGCAGCTTAATGCTAAGATTACAGTGGATCTTTTTGGGTTTCTAATCAAGTTTTAAACTAATCTGATATCAACATCATTTGAAGTTAATGATTGTTCCAACACTTCAGTATCTGTCACATGTACTTTCATCTCTCTCTCTGTATGTCCCTATTTATAATTCACAGGCATGCACAGGTGCACGTATAAGTGCATTTATATACAGGTGCACACATAGATATACATACAAATGCATATATACATAATATAGATAGACCTATACAGACAAATATAGAGCCATCCACTCCCTTTAAAGAGCAGAACTTAGAAATGTGAGTGCAAATGAAAGGCACTCTCTTTAGACTGGTGAGTAATTCGGGGTAATTTGTTTGGAGGTTGTTTCCTTTAAAATAAAGTATTTTGATATCAGCAGTTGATGCAGCAAGCATCCTTTAGAGTCTATTTAAGGAATATAACATCACCCTAAGGAAACAATCCTTCACCACAACCCGTTAACAGAAGAAAATCCGTTCTGTTCTGAGAACACAGCACTTGCTCTTCACATCTCACTTTGCTGCAGAGCTCTGTGTAATAGCTATTTTTAGTTTAAAACAAGCTTCCACTGCCCTCCAGCCTTCCTGCTGAGGAACTGCCACACAGACAAGGTCTGAGCAGACAAAGCGTTTGCAAATATTTTTGGCTTAGGCCAGTCCTGTATTTCTTTTAAGGTTATTGGATGCCTATGAAATGCTCCTGGAGTTGGAAATAAGCAGCATCTTCTAACAGCAGAATACCGAAAGCTGAGAACAAAAAGCAAAATAAAACAACCCAAACATAAGTTTACTATGTGTCTCCCTAGTCTAAAATAAACAGGTTTTTGTCCTTTTTTAACTTATGTGATCCCATGTAATCCTTTAACTAGCAGTGAGTGGGCTGACCTCCCTGATGGTGCTTAAAACATTCAAGCCCTTTCTGTACCCTTGTGCAGTGTTTCCATTGACTGGAATTAGGTCTTTCTATAAAAATAAGTCAATATACATGGGCACACAGAGCCTTAGGAAAGAGGTTTACAGTAACTTAGGCAGGGCACATCATTGGCTTTATTTGCGATGAGTAAGAAATACTAATGCAGGATAGAATATAGATTTGTTTTCAAAAGCAAAGGGATCTCTGTGGGGAGCTGATGTAACTCAAGAAGACAAGTTAGTTACTGATACCTGTGACAGTGTTTTGGACTAATATTCAAAGTGGAGGATGTGATAGCAATTAAGAGGCAAAGTGAAAACTTCACTGAGATAAAAATACGGCAAGGGATCATGTATCATCCATATAGTAACTGTCATAACTTACCCTCTACCAGGATAACCCTGGAACAGCAATCAAAACATTTTTACAAACAGGCCAGGTTCTCACAGAATAAAATAAAATCCCCAACACCTCCTCCTACAACCTGAGAGCCTGTTGGACATGCCAGAGATGGCTGAACCAGAGGTGATATTTTACAAGCAATAATAGCTTGATGTGGCCCATGAGCCACACTCTGGGGACCCTTTCTTTACAAAGGCCTCATGAAAGAACATTGCTTTCATTTGTCTGTGTTGAAAGAGGCTTCAGACCATTTCTGATCTCTTCCTTTAGACAGAGTAAAGACATGCTGAGTACTTATCAACTAAAAATATATGTAAATTGTCATACTGCTTTGATTAAACCAAAATAAATGACACAAAGTAGCAATCACAGGAACCACTATTGTTTCAGTCATATAGGTTTCCTAGATAGTGCACAGAGGATTTCCAGCACAGAGGATATTCTTTCCAGCACCAGGTTCTGAATCCAAAACTATGAGCTATGTTAACTTTTAAGCATGTTCAATGATGTAAGAGCCTTGCAGCTACAAGGATTTGCAGAGCACCTACAGACAGTCAGTATACAGTGATAGGTAACTTAGCAGTCACAACTTTGTACCATCATTAAAATATCAGCATTTATTCAAAGATAATCCATTTCTAGAAATTATTAGCTTTTAAGGATCAAAAATACTCCAGTTTATAACAATTCACTATCTCACATGCTAATACTATTAATCTTACCTTATTCCCTCCAGCAGAAAAAAAAAATTGCTAGTGCACATCTTTTTTAATCAACTAATAGCCACATAAACACACCGTGCATTGTATTTCAAATAATCATTTTGTGCAGTAACACGTAACACAAATATATCACAATCAGCTATGAACCTCTATGAACTGCTCATTAAATATGCAATTACTCACAGGAATGTTGATGAAAACAGTATCAAACTCTGATGCTGACAGAAACCTTTTCAATGGCACCATGAAAAACTGAAAGGAAAAAAAAAATATATATACATTGGCTATTGTAATTCTATCTTCTAGACTGCTATAAAAATGCATGTTATAAGTCTGTAAGCAGCATCTTACTTTCTCAATCGATTCCAGAGTTTCAGTGTACTTCTCTTCAGTTTGCTTTATTTCAGCAAGACAACAGCTTCTTATGTCATTTTCAGGACATTTCTGCAATTACAATGGAGTCAAGTTTAAGTCATTAACAGGCATCTAATGGATAACAAATGGTTTTATTTGTTTAGAATTACGCAATTAGGATAACTGCTTCCTGAAATTGTCTGCGTACTGCAGCCTCCAAAGATGACAGCAATAACCAAGAATATTTTAATGTTCAATTAGCTGATGACTTTAGTAAAATCAAAATCAAAGTAATGTTATGAAAAGTTAATGTTTAGACATAAAACTCTGAAGTATCAGCATGTACTTTGGAAGCTGAAATACAAGGTCACATTTAATTTACATCCAGTCTGAGACATCTTATTTAAAATACTCAGCAGTTAATAATTCCATTAAACTTAATGGGCTTAATCATGTAAGCAACTTTGCATTGCCATAAATATTGGATTCAGTCTAATCCTTGTATTTATTTACAGGTTTTCCCCTTTTATTTCTCAAGAGGAGCTTTCTCTTCAGACACAACATGAGTATGTCCTCAGATCAAGAAGTGCAGTGACCTCAACATTCAACTCTCACATATGTATGTGTGTGTCTCCAACAAAGACCCTGGGATTTTTTCATGTAAACCAGACTCACAGGACATGGAAGTAATTATCAGTAATTACATGACTCTATAAAAATAGTTTACAAGCACTCTTACCCAAGATAGGATTTACAGCATTACAGCTTCAATAAAGTCGTATTTCAAATAAAAGAGTAAATAACTGGAAGATTATATGGAACTGTTTGTGTCAAGCAAGGCACAGAAGATCTGGAGGTCATCGTGATGTTTGACACAGTAACTGGATAGGCTCTTGGAGTTAGAAGCAGTAACTAATCCAAAATGTTTTCTCCAACAACAAAAAGCAGTATCTTATTCAGCAACAGAATTACAACATCCTTTTTGAAGCCTATTTATCAATTTGCAACATCCTTCAGCATATCCCTGGTTGTATCTTACTTATTTTCATCCAGTGTAAAGAATTCCTATGCTGCACATAGACCAGATAACTAGATGTTGTTCAAATACAGGGAGAGTCAGGAGTAGGAATTTAGCCCTATAGTTCTATCCATTCAAAAAAAAAAAAACACTTTCAGCTTTTGAACATTTCCATAGTAGGAAAATACTTTTCTCCTCTAAGAATAGCAGAATTTCTAGACTGAAATTTTAACATTTAGCTGCTGGTATGTTCAAGAGCTAGACTCCTTCCACGCCCTCCCTGCTGCCAGTCTGACACACCTGCCATGCACAGCACAGAGTATGCCACACTTGCACTGTCTATGAGCCATGCACAGCTGCTACACAGCTTGGCCACCTCCAAGTGGGAAATGTATTCCTACCTCCTCAATTATGTACCAAGTTTCAAATCACACAGGTACATAGAGCTTGGTCACTGCTTTGGCTGATCTCTTTTACCCTTCTCTCTTTCTCTCTATGTGACTCTACAACCAGCTCCTACAAGCGGAACACAGCTTCTCACTCCTCTCATTTACCAGGTGCTGCAATTTCAGAAACTACTCATGAAAACCGAGTTTGTGCAGTTCTTCATTTTCCCACAATGAGCACTAAGGTTCTGTCTTTATCAGATGCAAACACAAGTAACCATTTTACAAAAATCCAGTCTTACAAGAAGAACTGTGATTTGTGAGCATCATCATGGTCACCCGCATCTCAAATCTACCATTTATTCCCAAATTCTTTTGTATGGGGAAGTAAACACTGTCATAGTTAACTGTAGTTAATTAATCTCTATAAAGTATTAGAATTTCACATTATTTAGACTTTCAGCTATTTTTTACCTTTAGCTCAATAATGCCCAGAATATTTGCAGTATTTGCCCCATTATAGCAGTTGCTGTACTCAATAGTTTATATCCATTTGCAAAATTTGGGCATTTGCTGTTCATCAATACTCATATGAGCAATGCAAACAAATCCTGGCATTATAGTTAAAACATTCACTTCAGTTTTGTGCTCATCTAACCCAAAGAGATTGGTAACCACTACCACAGACATTTTTGGTAGAAATTGACATATCAGTTTTTCTAGCCACACCACAAATGTCTAGAATTTGAGTGCAATAAACAAAAGGAAAGAGGCAATAAGAAATAATGTGTGATACAGTAATGTGTAAGAAAAGCTGCCTCTGAATTCAGATACTCCTAGAGGAAACTTAGTGGAACAGTTTCCTTCGCAACATAAAGACAATCTAATGATCAACAAAACCTACATGGTTGAATAAGCAGGAAATTCATTAGTTTGAAATAATTCTTAGTTGTCCTTGTTAGGCTAGCTGTCCAAACTATGGCTGAAATAATATTATACACAATAATTTCACAAAATTTTAACAATTTTGGAGGTAGGACACTTTCAAGTAAGCAATTCAATTAACTGCTCTTAAATTAGCAGGTAAAGTTTACTACTTAAAACTATCAAAGTAATTACTGTATTTTATTTTGAAATCACTCTTTTTTAAAAAGCTTACTATAATAAAAGTTTTCCCCTTTACCCAAACAGCCTACAAAGTCTCACATAGGAGATAATGCTCTGCACATGACAACTCCAGGTGCAGCTGAGCAGGACTGTCACTGAAACTATCTATAAAGACATCATTTCAACTTTCAAAAGTTAACTGCTATTGTTCCAAAGCAGCTAGGAACTTGAAAACATACAGGTTGCTGTGCTGCTTCATCTTTCATTAGGTCTTCATAAACTTCCCCACCTTCATCTTCTCCATAGACACAATCATACAATTCCTCATCTTCCTCAACACCAGTTTCACTGAAAAGACAAGAAAAAAACTGTGCAGCACAGACAAAGTACCACCATCTCTGCAAGGGACTACTCAGAAGTTTCTACAGTAAACAAACAGATTAATTAATAGGATATCTAATGAAAATAACTCATTAAGGGAAATTAAGTCCATTAATTTTCTTTTCTCAATTAATTTAAAATAAATTTTACAAAATCAACACAATACCGAAGACTACAGGAACTAAACCAGAAAGCAAAAGCAACACCTCAGGACAGTTTTGTCACAAGCTACAATCCAGCTGCCCTCTTCCCCTTAACCCTTTTCCCACTACATCCAGTGAAAAGCAGCTGCCTCTCCTTACTACCTGGCATCCCACTACGCTGGGATGTGAAACACTGTTAAAGGTCTTCTTCCTGCCTGAGGAAAGGATTATCCAGGGTAAAATACACCAAAGACTACAGAGCCAGCACTCAGGCACTGTACCTCCACATTATAAATCAGAATCTGGATCATCTCATGCAACCTTTGACTACACAAAAGCAAAAAAAGGAACCAATCAAATTGAAAATCAGACAGGTCAACGAAAGCAAGTATGCATAAGTGAGGGTCTCCAATTACCCAGACCACAGAAATAAAGCAGAAAGTCAGTGATCAACTCTACCCTCAGCTAATTCAGCCTCATTACAGTCATCCCTGCTAGAGTGTTACCTACTTTTTGCTAGGACCATATCAAACCCATCATATCTTTCACTCCTATTTCTTAGGATATATCTACAAAAGAACTCTAAAAGCTATTGAAAGCAGTTGAGTAACAATAACAATATAGAAACTGGATCAGATATGCTGACAATTTTGAGCTTTTTCCTGTTGGAAGACAACACTGAAATCATTCAGAGTAAAAACCAACAGGTTAGTCCAGCATTTCAGTTCCCACCAGCAGTCATGGTGTGCTAGGACTTCACATTCAACACTGGCAGCTGTCAGGTGCAGCAGACACACCGCATTCTACCACCCCTGCTCCAGGGTAAAAAAAGCTGGCAAAAAGGCAGAGTGAGGACAGATCTTTCTGACAAAAATACTTAAATTAATTTTGAATTTTTAGACACCATTTAAACTTAGGGATAATTAAATTAATTTCAAATAAATGTTCTAATAATTGAGGGAAACTAAAAATTGTGGGCTATTTGAATCATTCACTGGCACATTTGTTTCTTATTCTTGAATTTCTTCCCCCACAATTGAGACAGCATGTAACTATTAAATATATGTTAATTAATATTCATAATTTGCTGCACAAGAAGAGTTACAAATCCATTTCTTTGGTATGATTTGTTAGCTGCTTTTTTTTTTTTAATGAAAGACTGTCTCACAATGCTGAATTTACATGCCCATTTAAGAACTGGTGGAAATATTATTTTCAAACAATTATAATGCCACCACTTCTAAGAGATAAGGACACCACTTCTTGCCCACTTGGGTCCCAGAGGAGACTGCAGCTCCTACATTCTGCATGCTCTGCTACACAGAGTGAAAAGCAATTGTCTATGAGACAGTCAGTTGCAGGGATGAGGACAAGCTCTGCAAGGAAAGTGGTAAATTGAGCAATGCCAATCATGGTGAGGTTTCTCTTCTTTATTGGCAGTGAAGAAACAAATCCCTGGTGTGAACAGCAGCTTCTTTCCCACGCCGCAGCAAGCGACATGCAATGAGTGCTGGTGAACTTTGACCCTTGGAACAGAGTTCTGACCTAGATCTTGTCCAACATGATTCCTCATGGATCTTGGGAGATCCCAGCCATAGGACACAAGAGTATCCTGACAATCCTGCAAACACCTACCCAGAAGAGGTAAATGCACTCACATTAAGAATTTCACTGACTTTAGGGAAAAGATCCACTTGAATTATGATCCAAACATGCAATTTCTCTGCAAGTTCAAGACAATTTCCTTGAGTCCCTTACAAGTGATATTGCACTCTTCTGAAAGCATTCTCATAGTACTGACAGATAACTTAAAAATGCACTCTTTATTTACTTTGATTCCAGCATCCTCTATGAAACATGCTGCTTTATAGATGTGAATGTATCACAATAATTCAAAAAAAATTTCATAATTAATTCTTCCTGGTCAGCATAATGACTAACAAAATATTTACAAATTAAATAAATATCCCATTCTCATGAAAACCATATGTTCTACAACATAATACAAACAAGAGCATGCAACTGAAAGACAAAATCTGTAATTAATATATTTACAACATACTCTATTAAATCAGGAAGACCTTTGTAGATATCTTCATCATCAACACTTTCTTCTGTAGGGAAGGGCCTATAGAAAGAAAAATAGCATTAATTACAGACACAACTAGTCTAGTGATATAGTGGATTTCCATTTGGTTTCCAAAATTTTCACACAAATTATTGTATATTGTGCTTATATCTTCCCGCCCTTTCTCTGATGAGCAGTATATGTGTATCTATATTTCATTATGTGGACTGACAATATAATAAAAATCCTACTGGACACAATTGTTATAAATCACCACTAATACACATCATTGACATTCTTCAACTGGAAAAAAATCATCAAAACTTTCAGGTTAGTTCTGGTAGGGGTTCTTTTGGTTTCTTTTTGAAAACAAGAATCTCACAAACTTGGCCATTTCTTCTGATTTTTTAGAAGTAAGAAAGAAGAGAAACCCCATTTGTCTTTACATAAATCAGCACTGCATCAGCTTGATTTCTGACCCCTGTGTCACGATTATCACAAGTTCTGCAATACCAACTGTTCCTCTGTTCACCTCCCACTTCAGCACGAGCTATACATATAAGTCAGGCCCTTCAGTGAGCGTACCAGAGGTAGCAGATACCTTTTGTAACCCCTAAGGGCCCCAGAGCTTTGCTTTGCTGCCCACCTGGCTCTCTGCCTTACAGCTAGAGAAGTTCTTAGCAGCAGATACAGGCTATACTGCCTCTAACAACTTTTCCAAGGATCATTACACCATCACTCTCACCATTCCCTATGGCAACAGCATACCTTATTCCTGTGCCTAATGCAATAGGAGTGCGGGAAAGCTTAGAAAGCGTTTCTATCACCTGCAGAAAAGAGAAACAAACTGTGATTAGTTGTAGAACAATAAAGCAATAAAACATTTTGTTCTCTATTGTTTCATTATAAGCAGAACTACCTCAAATCAAATTATACAAGCAGAGACAAAATCTGGCTGTACCAAACAGACAATTGGACGTGGATGCACCTGTAATCAAATGTTGTCCTGGAGACGGCTTGAAACGCTCG